AAAATAAGAATTTCCTTTCACACTTCCAAATAAATGCTAATAAAAAAGGTTTAAATTCCCTTGTTTCTGCTAACTAACTAATCGTTGGCGTATCAAAACAACCTATGAGTACGAAAAATATTTCTGAAATTCATCTCATGTTTGAGTTTGTAAACCAGATAATATGGTCAAGGCACGATGTAATTATAAGTAGGCTTAACCCACATAAAATATGGGTCATGTATGCTAGGCAGCTCTGATTTAGACAGTCCAAAACATTTTAACACTTTTGTACATACATCTCGAACAAAGCTACTAGACATGTTGATCCTTCATTGTCTAACATAATCAGGAAGTTTTAAGGCAATTACAAATATATTGCATTGTTACATAACTATTCTTCACACCAGAAACGATAAGGAAACACGCATAAGATGCACAAATCCACAATCTCAACTACATTTTCCTGCTGCAGATCCATTTGAACAAGAAAACTTTATTTAAATATGATCAAGATAAGAGTTCTCAGTTACAACAGATGCGAAAGTAAATTTGGTTGAAGAACAAAATCACAGCTTCTGTCACGGTCAAGTAAAACAACATAGAAACAATAATTCTCAACTCAACTAATACGTGCAAGTCAAGAGACCTAAACTTTGTAACAAAAATTTGACAGTAGATAGTAACGTCAAAATAGGCCATGAATCACGATAGTACATGCTGGAAAATCAGTCTGTCCTGTCTTCACCATACTTGTCAATCCAACTATTGGCAAAGCTGTTCAACCGCAGCTACAATTTGTGCAGGCTGGACGACAGTCCATTCCTCCAGTGATGCAGCATATGGAGTTGGCACGTCCTGTGAAGACAAACATACAATTGGGGCATCCAAATAATCATGGAAATTTTCATTAATCGAAGCCGTCAAGCTGGCACCAATTCCACCTGTGCGCATGCACTCCTCTACAATTACCACACGATGAGTTTTCTTCACAGAATTCCCAATGGTGTAAAGATCAAATGGCTTCAATGATCTGATATCAATGACTTCAGGATCATATCCTTTGTTGACCAAAGTTTTCGCAGCCTGCATCACGTGGTACCTCATTCTGGAGTAAGTTAAAATAGTGATGTGCTCACCTGGCCTAACCATCTCAGCTTCCTCAAGATTCAATACGTACTCTTCATCTGGAATCCTCTCTTTGAGGTTGTAAAGCAAAACGTGCTCAAAAAGAATCACGGGATTCTCGCTTCTGATAGCTGCCTTCATCAAACCTTTAGCATTGTATGGGGTTGAGCATGCCACCATCTGAATTCCGGGTATTGACTGGAAATAAGACTCAAGGCGTTGTGAGTGCTCTGCTCCAAGCTGTCGTCCCACTCCACCAGGCCCACGGATGACAACTGGTATCTTAAACTGACCACCAGATGTGTAGTGGAGCATACCACAGTTGTTCGAGATTTGGTTAAAAGCCAGAAGGAGAAATCCCATGTTCATTCCCTCAACAACGGGACGCAAGCCAGTCATGGCAGCTCCAATGGCCATGCCGGTGAAGGAGTTTTCAGCAATGGGAGTGTCAAGAACCCTGAGATCACCGTACTTATCTGCCAACCCTTTGGTCACCTTGTATGAACCTCCATAATGACCCACATCTTCACCCATAACACAGACGTAAGGATCTCTGTCCATTTCTTCTTCAAGGCCTTCACGGAGAGCTTCAAAAAGCAAAAGCTCATGCCTAATGAAGAAATCAAATATCACTAATTTTACTGTAGGATAACAATGCAGGTACTAATGAATATTATATGCAAAAAGGAATCGAATATGATGTGGCATATGGTCAATCTAAGAGAAGTAGAAAACACTTGTTAAATTAGATACAATGGCTGACAAATAACTTGTTAATTTGAAGTGAGATAGAAAGTGCTCTACAATGAACTCAACTAGATAAATCAACCTAAAAGGTTCCATATGGAACAGCTGAACCAATCGTAACATAACACTGAAGAAGACAGGACTGTGTCTACATTCCTCATCTAACAAAAAAAGAAACTTTGGCAAAGTTTTCAACTTCAATCTACTCTATAAGGAAAGATAAATAAAAATTTCCTAATGTTAGCTAAAATGACATAGGATTAATTTAGCAAAAACCAATTTCAACCATCAACACTTGCATATACATATAAATTGGGAGGAGAAGCATACCCATGCTTGGATAGAGTTGAAGCTGCTGCACTATCTGGCTTTGTCTGCAATAAAAATTAAAAACTTTTACCAAGAGACAATCTTAAGAAACGATAGTTACGCAATTGAATATCAAAAAAGATCTTGACATAATTGACATGATAGAACTTAGAAGTATAATACGTGTCGACACATCCACAGAAGAAGAGGTCAGAAACTAACTGCTACTGCATTAGTAAAAAATTGTCTGGTTCTGTTGATTTGCCGATTCAAACCGGATCTCGGATTTCCATTGGATTCAAAAATAAAGAATCTTCTTTTCCTCCCTGAAACAAACATAAGAACAAATTTAACATCAAAACCAAATAATTAGCATACTTGTTGTCACCGGTACACCATAAAAGACACCTATTGCAACTTCCACAAGACTAGAATATTGGGAAGTAAGTTAATCCAATTAAACTATAAAACTCCGGAATTTCACAACACAAACAACGATGAATATCCATTTGAACAAATCTACAAAACCAATTTCGAACTTTGAGATTACAGAATTCGGACAAGTCGATGTTGAAACTAAATTACTAATTAAAACACCTCACATGAACAATCGAAGAGGGGAGGGGGGTAGATTTCATAATCACAATAACAAATAAAACTGAAAAAATGTGAAACCCCAAAAGAACAAACAGCTGAGTAAAATAAACAAGATCCATATCAAATCAAAGCAGAATAAACCAAATTCACATTGTAAAGGAAACTGGATCAGTAATTCCACAAACCTGAGAGCGATCTGCGAGTAGTGAGCTGAAATTTCTCGGAATTGGCTGATGAAAGAGCCGCTGTAGCTCCAAGCCCTTGTGTGACCGCCGCCATTCAGAAAATTTTCTAAATCCTAATTAACAAAATGCAATAAAACACTTTGTTTTAGATGAAATCTATACAGTGTAGTATCAAATTATACAAAGACAGCTGAACCACATGTTTCAACAGCTTGATCAGTTCAGTCTGGTTGGGACTTCGATAACGTCGTTTAATTAATTTCGGAGTAAATTTAACCAATAATCACTGAACTTTACACTTGATTACTACTTGCTCACTCATCTTTCACAAATTACTGAATGCTCACTCATCTTTTCATATAATTACTCATTCACCACTCGTTTCTTCAAATAATTGGGCGACTTTTACGGCAAATTTTCGACGACTTCCGACCACAAAGAATGTCGAATTTTGATACCGTTGAAAAGCCCAAGATGCCCTCTTCAATTACCACCCAAAATCTCATTATAACTCCAAGGGATTCGATCGAAAAATTGCTTTAAAAGTCGCCCAAAAATTTTGAAAATCTGCCCAGATTTTCAGATTTTTTGGGCGACTTTTAAGGCAATTTTTCGGCAACTTTTCATCAAAACTATCGGATTTTGATACCATTGGAAAGTCCACAATATCCTCTTCAATTACCATCCAAAATTTCCCCATAACTCCAAAGGATTCGGTCGGAATAAACCCACAAAATCAGCATCTTGAAAAGGCGAAAATCTGGACAAAGTTTGGGATGCTGACTTTGTGGGTTTATTCCGACCGAATCCTTTGGAGTTATCGGGAAATTTTGGGTGGTAATTGAAGAGGACATTGTGGGCTTTCCAATGGTATCAAAATTAGATAGTTTTGATGCTCGAAAGTTGCCGAAAAATTGACTTAAAGTCGCCCAAAAAATCTGAAAATCTGGGCAGATTTTCAGAATTTTTGAGTGATGAGTGAGCAAGTAGTAATCAAGTGTAAAATTCAGTGATTATTGGTTAAATTTACTCATTAATTTCGTGTGGCCTTTGTGTTTGTAAGAACTCATTCTGACCAATGATCACTTGACACGTTAGACAGTGAAGGGTAAAAGAATAATTTCACACTGTTTAGTTTACTGGTGACTGAGAGCTCCAATTAAAAAATTCATGTGGCCCCCTCAGGGTAAAAGAATAATTTCACTGTGTTTAGTTTATTGGTGTACTGAGAGCTGCAATTAAAAAATTCATGTGGCCCTTCACATGTTGAAGGGCTGTATATCATGATGTACAAACAGTTTAATTCATTGATGAACTCCTACGTAGGCAATTACGCAGGCAATTTTGATTGGTTGATGAATTGAGTATTGTTTCTTATTGGGTAAAAGAATAATTTCACACTGTTTAGTTTACTGGTGACTGAGAGCTCCAATTAAAAAATTCATGTGGCCCCCTCAGGGTAAAAGAATAATTTCACTGTGTTTAGTTTATTGGTGTACTGAGAGCTGCAATTAAAAAATTCATGTGGCCCTTCACATGTTGAGGGGCTGTATATCATGATGTACAAACAGTTTAATTCATTGATGAACTCCTACGTAGGCAATTTTGATTGGTTGATGAATTGAGTATTGTTTCTTATCCGCCATGGCAAGGAAATTTGACGGCGGCGCAACCTTTCAAGCAACTCATTAAAAATTCCACAAGTAGTAGAGAATTTATTCAATTAGTCAAACAAAATGTAGCCCCTGTTTGGCCCCAATTGTGGAGAATAATTAATGTGTGAAATAGTGTTTTTTGAAAAATGAGTGGTTGAAAAAAAAAGGAAAAATTTTCGATTTACGTGTAATATTATTTTATGAAAGATTGTGATGTTGAAAATAGGAGAGAGAAAAATGAAATGTAAGGTAATGAAAATTAATGGGGCTCAAACGGGGACTTAGAGAAAAGTGTAGGGGTCTGGAACCTTTTTAAAGTGTGACATTAGATGATAAATTCATTTAAATGTAATGTTATATGATTTATTTAATTAAATCTATTGAGTGTTTACCATCTAAATTGATGTTTAGTATCATTAATGATAGATAGTATTATTGTTGTTAAAATAGATTTCAAAAGACTTTTAGATGGCTACTATCTAAAATTTTGTAGTTGACTAAGCCCCTGTTTGATTCCCATTACGTAGGAAATTTAATGGGGGGAATAGTGTTTTTTTGAAAAATGAGTGGTTGAAAAAGAATGAAAAGTTTTCGATTTACGTGTAATATTATTTTATGAAAGATTGTGTAGTTGAAAATAGGAGATAGAAAAATGAAATGTAATAGAATTTAATGTAATGGGTCTCAAACAGGGGCTAAGCTTTTGTTTGAGTCACATTGTTCAAACTCATTTTCAATGACATATTTTTTCAATAAAATAATTTTACATGTAGATCAAATTTTTTCCCCTACTGTTTTATAAATTCTTCAAAATTCATTATTACAAGACTTATCTTCCAACAAACTAGTCAGAAGATAGCATAAATATGTACGTTTGAATTTTATTTGTCTATTTATGTAATTATTTGTCTATTTTATCTATTTAATTTGGACTTAAAAGTTAAGAGGTTGATATGATTTTTGACACATAATAAAATTCTACAAAAATACTATGTTTGTATGAGGGAATAAAAATTAAAAATAGTTTGCTAAATTATTATTAGATATGTTTATGACTAATAAGTTACATTAATAAATTTAAGCAACTAGAGTGTAAAGGATTGAATATTATATTTTTTCCATAACGTGTAGAATGATAAAAAGGGCAAAAAGGGAAAAGCTATTTTACCTGCTGTTATTGAACTATTTTACTAAATTGGATAATTAGTGCCAAAAATGTGTTGTAGATTAAATTCAATTATTATGAAATGTAATTGATTGCTTGTGTTCTAGTCGATTAATTAATAGAAATAGATATTAATTGTTACGCCTCATTTTACGAGCCTCGGAACCACTCCGACCTCCCGAAGCCTCTCCGAAGTGATACACCAATTCCTGTCACT